TGAAAAAAAATTAATCAATAAAAATAAATAAATAATCTTATAACACTTTGGTAATAAAAATAATGCTTTCATTAATTAATAAATCTGGCATGATTGATTGATTCATAACCCTTTTTGATGATTAATGGTTTAGCCAACATTTAATTATTAGTTAGAGACCTCTTTTATTGGTTTTACTATACTGTTTGTAGGGATGCCTCAAGCAGTGTAGTTGTATATGGTGATTTTAGTTTAGTTTGAACATTATTGTGCTAGATTTAGTGACTCTGCAATAGTGTTGAGTTTCTATTCATAATAAAATTTTTGTTCAAATTATTCAAATCATTCATTTTTTTTGAATTGTTATCATTTGTTTATTATTTAAATATCATAGTTTGTTTATTAGACTTGTTATCATTCATTTATTATTTGAATTGTTATTTATCATTTGTTTATTATTCGAATTGTTATCTATCATTCATTTATTATTCAAATTGTTATCATTCGTTTATTATTTGAATTATATCTATCAGTCAAATGATATGTCATAGGAAGTGTAATGTGAGATCAAAATCCGCGTCTCACACAAATCTCTTGATTTTTATTTATGATGACATGCCGATACAATTTTCTCATTTATTTATACTAAATGGTAATAACAATTTTCGCGAATGTATATTTATGCTTTTATCTTTTACTATCATTAAACAATTTCTTATACTAAGAAATACTAAACAATATCTTTTTTAGATTTTACACTATATATCCTGATCACGTTTCTTGTTGGGTGCCTTTCTAGCCGTTTTCCTCTTTACTACCAAGTCAGGTACGTCTCCAAAACTACTAAACAAGGTTTATTAATATTACCTCACTAAAAGAAAAGAAAAGAAATAAAAAATAATAAAATTAATATATAGAGACAAATATAAAATAAGAGAAAATAATTATGCACGGGATTAGTATAAATTCGTCGTTAGGGATAGATTTATTATCATTACGAAAATATAATGTTCAAAGACCATAAGGACAAGGACAAGGTCAAGGTTTATTTATTATAATATTTGAGTTACTAAAAAAAAACTTTGAGTTAATAAAAAACTAACTAACTAACTAAAGATTACATGAAAGAAAAATGTACAACGTATTTATACATTCTAGAGGTTCTATCATCTAGTTCTTCGATTTCTTTAAAATCCTAAATTATACTAATTAATGTATTCTTTAATCATTATTTAAACCTTCCATGTAGAATTATTTTCAAGTAATTTCTAGTCAACATGAGTCATGTAAAATTCTTTCGTTTAAATATTATTCTGAGACTTTGTAATTCGTTACATTTTAGAAAGTTGGAATATTTATATTTCCAATATTTCCGTGAGTCAAATTATTTTATTGGTGTTCAAATAAATTGATCACTTGATCAGTTTTTCCGATTTTATTTGCGTGTAACTTCGTAAATCATCTCCGATTTATATATCAGTTTCCCGTGATTTATAATTTACTATTACTATTTTACAGTAATTACATATTACTTGCTTTGAGCTTTCAAACAAGCCAATGCACGTTAAAATTAAAGCACCGTTGATAAAAAACTTAATTCAATTTTTCTTAGCCATACTTTATTTGATCATAATAAAACAATCAATTGGCGATCCATCTATTAAAATATCGGTATACATTTTTATTATTGCGAGCAAAATGCTTTTTCTTTTTTTTTTAATTAAAATAACAAATAAGATTCCAATATTTAAAAGATGCCGACTGCTGAAATTAGAATGTTGCAAAAGAAAATGATATAGTTTCAACAGGAACTAAAATTAAAGTAGATTACAAGATGTAGATAAGATTTCATTTTTTCCAAAAATATAAATTATATGAATCATGATAACATTGATATTAATTATTGCCTGTTTTTTTTTTTTGCATTGAAAAGCCAGCGGTCAACTTCTAAATTTAGAAATTTTTGAGAGCTCAAAGTAATGTTTCTATAAAGTAATATTAATAAAAATATGAAATTATCAGCTGAAGATATGAGAGATGGGCAGATCAGTACTATACGTATAGTGCGTATAGTTCTAGAACTATATAGTAGTCGAACGATTTGTCACATTAAACAATTGGGAAGTGTATTTTCCGAAATTTTTTGGTGATCAACGTCGAAATTCTATTAATAAAATTAGCCACAAACCTTAA